CCCTGTGTCCTCCCATCTCCCAGTCCCGCTGCTTGACGTTGCACCGGAGGCTCCCCCCGGCCCCCGCGCACGCGGCAATGCCGCGTGTCCCTCCGCGGCACTCGTAGAGCGTAAGGCCCGCCTCCTCAAGGCCGGGACATGGTCTGATTGGTTTTTCTGCCCGCCCGTCTGTGCAGAGCGGCGCACTCCGCGCCTATTGGCTGCCCTGGGCATAGCGAGTTTTGAGTGGCTTGGCTGGGCGCAGGCCACGCCCCCCGGCCGGACCAGGAAGTGAAAATGGCGGCGGCGGCGATGGCGGCGGATGAAGCAGGTACTGGTGGGGTTGGCGGTCTGGTGCTCGTTCGCTCGCTGTCTCCCGGCTCCAGTCCCCCGGCCCGCAGGGAGCCGGGCCGGTGCTGAAGTGCTGTTCCTGCAGAGCGGGCGCGGGGCCGGCGCGCCGCCCTGTCCTTCGCGGCCATCGCCGTGGTGCTGGGGCTGCCGCTGTGGTGGAGAACGACCGAGACCTACCGCGCCGCGCTGCCTTACGCGGACATCGACGGGCTGGGCCAGCAGCCGGTGAGCGCCGGGAGGGGCCGGGGCCGGTGTGAGCTCGGGGGGCTCGTGGGCCCGCACTGACGCTGCCACTGTGCAGGTTCAGCTGGTCGTGCCCGTCGCCGTGGTCTTCAGCCCGGGGTCCGTGCCCGGGGACCTGCCGAGCCCGCTGCCGTTCAGGGACGTGCAGGAGATGAAGATTTCCGTGAACCGTGAGAGACACCCCCGCCCCCCCTTGGCTGTCCTTGCCCCATCTGCCCCTCCTGGGTACCCTCGTTCTTCCCCGAGGGGTCCGAGCCTACCCGTAGCTTCTCTCCCGGGCAGCCCGGAGCTCCCCAGATCCCAAACCCACGTTCACTAGCACGATTCTACCGTGAGCCGGCAGTGCAGGGAGCAGAGGGGACAGCAAGGTCTGCATTGTGCTGCAGGGAAGGGACCAGCTTCTCTCCCTGGAGATGTAGACAAGGGAGCCCTGGGAGGGTGGGATGTACCTGGGTGATCAGGGCCTGCTCTGCTGCCTGCACTGACCAGCTGATACCATGTGCCATGATGGGTCACCAGCTGGTGCCCAAAGGACCTTGCGGCATGTGTCCTCCTGGGGTTGCACCTTGTCCCTCTGAGCCACCTCTGAGGGGCCTGGGGACCAGGATTAGCAGATTCATTCAGCTTTATCCCTCTGTAGTGAGAACCAGCGTCACATCCCGCTATGAGATGGCCTATCGGGCCACCACGGCCCAGGAGGAGGCAGCTCTGGCTGTGGCCACTGCACGAGGTACTGGAGCAAGGGACTGGTGAGGAGAGGTGCTGAGCACCTCGTCATTGCTGAGCAAAGGGCATGCTGCTGTGTCTCAGAGGGGATTGGAGTGAAATTCCCAGCCCTGCTGATGACTCTGTGTTCCCCAGAGGCTGACGCTGCTCTGCGCCCACTGCAGGACGTCTCGATGGGCTCCCTGACCATGTACGTGGTCCCCGAAACCTCCTCTCTCCTGCCTCAGGTAGGAGGTGCTTCACCCCTGTGACCCCCTGCATGTCACAGGTGGCTGTCACAGGTGGCACTGAGGTGTTCTCCTGCCCCTTCCCCAGGGCACCAGCGTCTATGTGGGGAGGCACCGCAGCGCCCTGGTGAGGGCCGAGGGGGGCCTGGCTGCCCTCCATGCCCGCCTCCGGCAGGTGACACAGGTGATGTCCTTCACGGCCACCTCCATCGGTGCCGCCCTCTCGGACCGTGTGCCCGACAGCCGGCTCAGCCCTGACGTGCGGCGCTCCCTGAAATCCAGCCTGGGTACGGACCTGACCTGGGGAAAGCCCGCTTTTCCTGGGGGAGATCCCCTCTCTGCTCCACTTGTAGCATCCCTGTGTGTCTTCTGGGCTAACAGACCCCGGGGTTTTCCCTTTGCAGTGTCTCTGGGGCAGGGTTTGTGCTGTGATTGCTGTGATGGGGCACTGGTGTGTGAGTCTGCATTGGGGCAGGCCAGGGAGGAGGGGTCAGATCCTGCTGCTCTAGGGAGCTCTGTGACAGTGCTGGCTGTGCTGGTGCCTCACAGGCCATGGGTCCTTGGCAGGGTATGAGATCACCTTCAGCCTGCTGAACCCTGACCCCAAGTCCCACGCCGTGGACTGGGACATCGAGGGGGCCGTGAACCGCTACGTGAAGCCCGTCCTGGACAAACTGAGCTTGGTGGCCAACTTCTCTGTGGACTCACAGGTGAGACCTGGGAGAGGCAGTGGGGAGAGCCCAGCCCTGGGCTCCCCGGGTGCCCTGGGACGCGCTTCTCTGCCAGCAACGTGTCCCTTGTGTGCCCGCAGATCCTGTACTACGCTGTCCTAGGAGTGACACCACGCTATGACAAGGAATCTTCCAGCTTTCTCCTGAGTGCTCACAGCCTCCCACATGTCATCAACCCCGTGGAGGCTCGCCTGGGTGAGCACCATGCTCGTGTGGATCACTGAGATCTGCCTCATGGGACCTGGCTCTGCTGAGGGAGAGGGGACAGCTGTGCCTGTGGCCTGTGCCCTTTTTCCCTGCCAGCTCTGGATGGGAGCAAGGGTGACTGAGACCTGCCAGTGTGGCAGTTCTGCTTGGGGCTGGCTGTGAAGGAGGAGCTGGGCTCTGGGCTGCTCTTGCTGTCTCTGTTGGCCAGGAGAGTTCTTTGACACTGTCCCACTGCAGGCTCCAGTGCTGCCTCACTCTACCCCGTGCTGAACTTCCTGCTGTATGTGCCAGAGCGCTCCCACTCCCCCCTGTATATCCACGACAAGGACGGAGCCCCAGTGAGCACCAACGCCTTCCACAGCCCCCGCTGGGGCGGCATCATGGTACGGGACCATGGGGGTGCTGGCAGTGCTCGGACAAGGTGGTGGCTCCCCGTTCCCAGCTGGTGACCCTGCCAGCCCCGAGGCTCCAGCTGTGCCTCACTGCCATGCTCTCCTGCAGGTTTACAACGTTGAAGCCCCTGCTTCCCCCCAAGCCTCTCTCCCGCTGCACGTGGACGTGGACATGGCACGAGTGATGGAGGTTTTCCTGGCCCAGCTCCGGTGAGGATGCTCTCTTCTCTCCCTGTACCTCTCTGTGCTCTCCTAGCCCATGTGGAAATCAGTGGGGTCAGAGCAGGCTGGACCCAAGCAGCTCATTTGCTTCTCACACTGTGGGCTCTGGAAGGCTGAAGGTGGCTTTTCGTGGCATTTGAGGCGCTGGCTACTGGCCATCACTGCTCCATGGCCAGGAGTGCTGGCACATCTCCCATCTCTTAAGGTAGGAGGGTTTGCTTGTCCTGCCCCAAATCCAGGAGGCAATTAAGCAGGATGGGTACTGAACATAGCAGGGAATAAGAGCAGGGAGCTTGTAGAAATGCAAGTTTGTGGTATGGGCTGGGACCTTCCCCTCTACTCCCAGGTTACTCTTTGGGCTGTCTCGGGAAGAGCTGCCCCCAGAGTTCCTGCTGGAAAGCCCAGGGAATGAGGGGCTGGCTGACTGGGAACTGGACCACCTGCTCTGGGCCCACACTGTGGAGAACATTGCCACTGTGTCCACCACACTGACCTCGCTGGCCCAGCTCTTGGACAAGATCGGGAACATCGTCATCAAGGATGATGTTGCCTCTGAGGTAGGGCTGGGGCACCCTGAGGTGGGCAGTGGAGTGGGCTGGGTGTCCCTGTGGTCCTCCATGGCCAGGGACTGACCCTTGGCATTATTCCCTCACAGGTGTACCGAGCAGTGGCCTCAGTGCAGACTGCTGTGGCCAAGCTGGCTGTGGGCCACCTGCACTCAGCTTTCCAGGCCAGCAAGGAGGCTGTTACCTCCTCGGAGCGGGCTTTCTTTGACCCATCTCTCCTCCATCTCCTCTACTTCCCTGACGATCAGAAATTTGCCATCTACATCCCACTCTTCCTGCCCATGGCTGTCCCCATTCTCCTGTCACTGGCCAAGATTGTCCGGGAGACCAGGCAGCGTAAGAAGGAGCCCACCAAGATGGACTGAGCCCATGGCATTGGTGCCCTGCCTTGGGGCTGTCCTCACCTCGTGGGGTGTGTTGTCACAGACTCGTGGCCCAGGAAAGTGCCTCAGAACAGTGTAAAGGCCAGGCCTGGCAGCTTGGCTTGGGTCTGCTGTGGCCAGAGTGCAGAATTGGGAAAAGAGGCTGTTTTGGGGAGTGGGAGATGGTCTCAATCGGTGTGCCCTTCCCCAGAAAGGCAGAGAGGAGAGGGAGGGGGCTCCCTGTGTGCACCCCCAGCCCTGTACTGTGTTCAGAACAAGCTGCTGTGTAAATAAATGACCCCCTGTTGTGCGGGGGGGCTGGTGTGGGGCTTTGTGAACCTCCATGAGCCATCTGGGGAGGGGGGGGATGCCTATTGCCCTGCCTTCCCCTGGCCCAGCTTTCCTGCCCCCACGAATTTCTTTGTGGGGTTACTCCTATCTTATGGGTATTATTTTGTGGGGTTACTCCTGTCTTATGGGTATTATATTATGGGACAGGTTTACTCCTGTCTTATGGGTTTTTAGACAAAAATACTCAGTTGTGGGGGGGGCTGGGGGGCAGGTAATGGAGTCTGCGTCCTGTTGAGGGGTGCAGAGCCCCTGGGGGCTGCCACACCTTAACGGGGTCCAGCTCCTCCGCTGTGTGTCAGCCTGAGTGTCAGGGGGTGGGTTATGATGGAGTGCCCCTGTGCTCTCCGCGGCAGGTGGGGGGGTCTGTCCTCACCACACCCGCGTTCCTGGGGGGCTGCCCCCCCCATGCAGGGGCGCTGGCGTGGGGGAACGGCATCTTCTCCAACAGAAGCCCTCCTGAGCCCCTGGGAGCAGCCAGGGGGGCTGCGTTACCCCTTTCCCCTCCTTTCCCCCTCCCTTCCCGCGGACCGGGCGGCGCTGTGCCGCCGGGGGCGGGCCGGGGGCGGTGATGGCGATGCCCCTCCCGGTGCGGCGGCGCGCAGCGGGGCCGGGGCCGGGGCCGCTCACACCGGCGGCGGCGGCGGGGCCATGAAGGTGAAGAAGAGCGGCGGGGCCGGGGCGGCGGCGGCGAGGACCGAGGAGGAGCTGGGCCGAAAGGCGCTCATCGGGCCCGACGACGTGCTGGGGCTGCAGCGGGTCACCAGCGGTGCGTACCGGGGATGGAGCGGGGGGGGGGTGGGCTATACCGGGGAGCCGAGGGGTGTGCAGGGGATGGGGACCGTGTCCCCGTGGGGCTGGCGAGGGGGTTAACCCCGGGGGGAAAGGGAGAGCCGGTCCCCCTCTCCCCTGGGGACAAGGAGTTGGGGATGCAGGGGAAAGGGTCTGTGCCGGGGATCTGAGTACCACCGGAGGACCAGGGATGCCCGGAGCTGGGGATGCAACCCCAGGGATGCGGTCCCTCAGCTCTGGTCGTAGGTCGGTGCTCCTCGCTGCTCTCCCCATCACCCCTTTCTTGTGTCTGTGCCCTAAGTGAAGCCCCCCCACCCTGTGCCCGCAGCAGTGGAGCAGGCTGGATCCCTGGCCACAGCATGGGGGGCTTCACTGCAGCCCATCCTTCAGCCCCCCTCCTCCAGGATCTCCCTCCCCAGTGTAGTACCTCTGGTCTTAAGAGCATCCTGGGGGCTGGTGGGTGGGAGTGTGTGACTGGAGGGTCTGTTGTGCTTGGCAGAACAGCTCAGTTGGGACTGTCTGCTGCCATGGACCTGCCGGGGTAGCAGCATGCAGGGCTGGGGGAAGGCCAGGACAAGGGGGAATGGCTTCATACTGACAGAGGGCAGGTTTAGATATTAGGGAGAAATTCTTCCCTGTGAGAGTGGTGAGGAACTGGCACAGGTTGCCCAGAGAAGCTGTGGCTGCCCCATCCCTGGAAGTGTTCAAGGCCAGATTGGATGGAGCTTGGAACAACCTGGTCTAGTGGAAGGTGTCCCTGCCCATGGCAGGGGGTTGGAACTACATCTTTAAAGTCCCTTTCAACAGAACCCATTCCATGGTAACACATGTGCCTAAGGTCAGCCTGCTCTTGGTGATGCCCAGGGACAATTTGCCCTGGTGCCCCAAAAAGACCTTTTTGCATGTCCTGGGACCTTTGGGTTGTCTCTCAGTAGTGGCAGGTTGGGCAGGAGGAGGGGGCTGGGGGTCTGGCCACGCTCCCCTGTGTCTCACAGCACTCTGATGTGGTGTCAGAGCTGGTTTTGTGTCACAGACCAGGACTGTGGGGTGTGACAAGCCCCAGAGAGGAAGGATGTGGCTGTGGGTGCTGGTGTGTGCAGGCAGCCCTGTGGGGCTGTGTGTGTGAGCAGGATGGGAGGGGACGTGGTGTCAACCCTCAGGAAGGGGTTACAGAGGCTCCTCTGAGAGAGGGGCTGCTGGTGCTGTGGGGTCCTTGGGTCCCCTTCTCCAAGCCAAGCTGCTGTGCTGGGCTGCAGCAGCGTGATTCACTGCCCAGGCCTAGAAATCCCCTGCCTGTAGCAGGGAGAGCCATGCACCAGGCACTGAAGCATCCTGCCAGCATCCCTGGAGGTGCTGCTGTTGGATGGTGAATCCAAGCTGTGTTAAGCGCTGTGTGCTCACTTCATGGCAGCCTGTGTGTCCCTGCCCTCATCAGTGCTGTCTGAAGAGGACAGGGCCACCCTGCACCCTTGCTCCTGGGGTGTGCAGACCTCATGTGGCATCAGTGTGCATGGTGCATGGCTCTTGGTAAGCATCTGCATTCCCAGGGCACAGGGAAGGCTGATCTGGTCAACCTGACTTCTGAGCCAGGCTGGGAGCAGAGGTGGTTGTTTTCTGCATCTTCCAACCCTGGGGAAGCACACCCTGGAGAACAGGGAAGATGTGAAATGCATGAAAATGTTTTGTTCCCCTCCTGCTGTGAGAGTTGCTGGTACCAGGGTAGTGCAGGGGTGCAGATGGGTCATGTCAAACAACAGCCAGGCACTGTGAAGATGTCCCATGGTTCCCAGGGGAAATGCTTTCTGTCCTACTGAGTACATGGGAGCCAGCAAACTGCACCTGAAATCCTCCATGTGGATTTGGGGATACAGGTAAACAACACATCTGTGTTGAGCATATGGTATCTTATCGCCTGGGAATGCTTTGCAGCTCCCCTTCTCAAGCTCACTTTTCCACCTGGTGGGTTTAACAGGGAGCAAAGATACCAGAATATTTTTCAGGTCTTTAACACCTAATGATTATTTGGGGCATTTTGTGACCTTTTCTCATTTCCACGCTCTTAAAAACAGATGGCCAAAAATACCAATGTGAAACTGTTCCACTCTTCTGCTCTGAGCAGCAGGGAAGAGGAAGGACCAGCTGTGAGAGAGCTCATGGCTGCCCCAGGCCCAACCTCTCCCCTTGGAGATGCTGAGTCGGAGCAGACACCACACCCTGTTGCAACAACTCTGGCTTTGATGCCCAAAATTGTGGTACTTCACACAGTTTGAAGTTGAAGGAGGAGTTGGTGGTGGGGCTGCAGCAGAAATGTCCTGGTGCCCTGGGTGTCCTCTCTTTTTCCAGATAGAGGATAATCCCTCTTTATCCAAACTCATGGGCCAGTGGCACGGCAGCTTGCGCTGTCGAGGGACTGTGTAGTTAAGCTGTGTCCTGCCCAGGGTCCTGGGGTGGCCTGGACATGTTTTAACGTTGCTTCAGGAGAGCTTGGTACCACAGGAACACGTATTTTAAGGATGCTTACGCCATGAGTAGCCTGTGTGTTTCTGAAAGGCCTGCCAGCCTGTGTGAGGGGAGGTGGAATGCTAGCTACAGCGTAGAATGGTTTGGGTTGGAAGGGACTTTAAAGACCATCTCATTCCAACCCCCTGCCCTGGGGACACCTTCCACTAGACCAGGTTGCTCCTAGCCCCATCCAACCTGGCCTTGGAGACTTCCAGGGATGGGGCAGCCACAGCTTCTCTGGGCAACCTGTGCCAGGGCCTCACCACCCTCACAGGGAAGAATTTCTTCCTAATAATCTTTTCATCAGGAAGCACAGCTGGTCTTTCCTTTCCCAGTAGGTACAGCTGACAAATGACCAAATGTGAGATGGCTGGGGCTGGGAGGGTGGTGATGCAGGATGTGGCTCTGTGGCAGGACACCCTGTCTGTGGGCAGCCAGGGGAGCCAGCTGGGCTCTGCTCTTAACGTGCCTCTAATAAGCTTAAAGGAGGAGTTGTGCAAACTGCCCTGCATATGCTATGTCCTTTCAATATTAAATTCTCCAGCATCTCTAGGCCTGTAACATTTCTGGGTATGTGGGGGGTCCAGCCCGACAGATCTGGGATGGTGCCCTGGGATATCTGGGCCTTTTGGCCGGGCTGGCTCTGGCGCTGCTCCAGCTGGATCAGGTGTAAGGCGAGTGGAGCATTTCCTTTGCAATTAGCAAGATTTGTTACTCGCTCACACAACTGTGGTCAGAAAAAGCGGAAAAGCCTTATGACGTGATTAATTTAAGATTAGTAAAGGAGTGGGGCAGAGCTCAGTTCAAATTGTAATTAATTACTGAAGCAACCAGAGGATCAGGGAAGTCAGATACGTAACAAAAGACAAGCTCTATCCTCTGAGACTGCCCTGCTTATCACCTGCACACTTTGTCTGTAATACAGGATTAAATCGTGCATTTTAGGTTTTATTCTAAAGCTGATTTTATTTTAGCGAACCAAGGGGTTAAATAATGGATTATATACTTGGAAACAATTTCAAAACAAACCTTATTTTTAAATAAGGAACACGTACATAATCATTTCTGAAAGTAATCTCTTCCTCGAGCTGTCATTGGGGATTTCTTTGAGACTTCTCTAGGCAGCTTTAGCTAAAGGCCAGCCTTGGCTGCCTCAGTGGGTTGAGCAGAGTAGACCTTTCCTGTGTGACTTTCATACCAGTTTCCCTGTAGTCAAATAACCAAAAAGCTAAATAAACCATTTCCCTGCCCTCTGCCTCAGCAGTTCAAGTCCTGTAAAGCTGAACCAGCCAGGATCAAATCCATTTTTAAAGCCATAGGGTTTGGGTAAGCAAGGACCAGGAGGGTACACAGGGAGAGAGGCGTTAACAGGAATGTGAGGCAGATGTGCACGAATCAATCTTCAAAGCTGCTCCTGGACCATGACTTCCCTCCCCAGTTAATTGGGAGAATGTATTTTATTAGGAGCTCTGACGAGCTGCGGGTGTTTTGTGAGGATGTTAATGAATCACTGTTCTGACTTGTCCAGGGCTGTGATGTGTTGATGTGTTTTGATGTGCTGATTTCTTGTCTGAGTGATATCCCAGAGCTGTGCCAAGCTGCTCTCTCCATGACTCTTCCCTCAGCACCCCCACATAGGCTGTGAACCTTTCCAAGGCTGTGTGATGCTGCATGGCTTGGGGTGTTGTGTAGATGAAGGGTGTTTTTGGAAGTCTCACAATACAATATGGGCTGTTAAGATTCTCAGGGGCAGCACACATGGTGTGTGTGTGTGTCACAGGATTCCTCCTTCTGCTGGGATCGTGGGTTTGGGCCATCCCTGGTGGAAATGGCAAAGGTAAGAGGGAAGCTCTGGCATCCACCAGAGGAGTAGTCTGGGCAGAACTGGATGGCTTTGGCTCAGCCCTGTGTAAGAGCAAAAATAGCTGATTTTGTTAATGTTGTACACGTGGTTTCAGACTTTGAGTGCAATCAGCATGAAAAGGGGGCAGGAAAAACTGTTTGGATGCTTTGGAGGTGGGGGAAGAACAGTTCCATCCTTCCTTAACAAGGCCTGCAGGGCTGTGATCAAATTAATTGTGAGAGGGTGAAGTCTGGAAAGCTCTAGCTAAAAAAAAAAGAAAGAAAAAAAAAAGAGATGAGCAGGCTGCCATAAAAAGCAGAGCCTGGTGAGCTGTGCAGTAGGACTCAGCACTTGAGGGGCTCTGGGGACCTTGGAAAGTACCCCAGCTCAGAGCCTAGTGGGCTGCACCCCTCTGCTTCATTCACAGTGTTGGTCAGTAGATGTGCTTCTGTGGAAAAACCCCTGTGGGATCCTTCTAGTGCAGGATTTTTCCTCTGGGGCATCGCAGCAGCCTAATTCCAGAGCTAGATGGGAGGGCAGCTGCCTCCCTCCCCAATAACCCCCCCAGTCTTTGGTTACCAAACCCCATGGCTCTAGAAATGGAGTGGATTCTGGATCCTGGGTGGCTTAGTTTTACAGGACTTGAACTGCTAAGGTAAAGGACAAGGAAGCAGTTTATTTTTTTCTTTAATTGACCTCCTGTCGTCTGGGCAGGTGTGTCAACACCACCTGGAACCTGCCCTGCCTTCCCCTCGAGGTCCTGCACTGTGTCCTGCGTCACTGCTTGGCATCTTCACGGGGTTCGGGCTATTTTTGCTCGCTTCCTTCTGAGACTCTTCAATCTGATAATCTCCTAATCTCCAGCTCCTGGCAATTCCTCTGCAGTTGTCTTTGCCTTATACCTGGCTTAGGTCTTGGGAGTTGTCTTCAAAATAGCTCCTGACCTTGTTGGTTAATGCATGTTAAGAAATAGACCTGCATAGCTGCAGGAGCCTTCTCATTCATTCCCTGAATTCTTGTTGTTGCCTGTGTTGGGGAGAGAAATTCCTGTTTCAAGTCACGACCCTTCCATCA